GGGGTGTAGTGGTGACGCCACACGGCCTGCAGTACCCCGGGGGGTGTAGTGGTGACGCCACACGGCCTGCAGTACCCCGGGGGGTGTAGTGGTGACGTCACACGGCCTGCAGTACCCCGGGGGGTGTAGTGGTGACGTCACACGGCCTGCAGTACCCCGGGGGGTGTAGTGGTGACGTCACACGGCCTGCAGTACCCCGGGGGTGTAGTGGTGACGTCACACGGCCTGCAGTACCCCGGGGGGTGTAGTGGTGACGCCACACGGCCTGCAGTACCCCGGGGGGTGTAGTGGTGACGCCACACGGCCTGCAGTACCCCGGGGGGTGTAGTGGTGCCGTCACACGGCCTGCAGTACCCCGGGGGGTGTAGTGGTGACGCCACACGGCCTGCAGTACCCCGGGGGGTGTAGTGGTGACGCCACACGGCCTGCAGTACCCCGGGGGGTGTAGTGGTGCCGTCACACGGCCTGCAGTACCCCGGGGGGTGTAGTGGTGACGTCACACGGCCTGCAGTACCCCGGGGGGTGTAGTGGTGCCGTCACACGGCCTGCAGTACCCCGGGGGGTGTAGTGGTGACGTCACACGGCCTGCAGTACCCCGGGGGGTGTAGTGCCGTCACACGGCCTGCAGTACCCCGGGGGGTGTAGTGGTGCCGTCACACGGCCTGCAGTACCCCGGGGGGTGTAGTGGTGACGTCACACGGCCTGCAGTACCCCGGGGTGTAGTGACGTCACACGGCCTGCAGTACCCCGGGGTGTAGTGGTGACGTCACACGGCCTGCAGTACCCCGGGGTGTAGTGACGTCACACGGCCTGCAGTACCCCGGGGTGTAGTGGTGACGTCACACGGCCTGCAGTACCCCGGGGTGTAGTGGTGACGTCACACGGCCTGCAGTGTCCCGGATGTGCTGACTCAAGTTCCGCCATTTCTCCAGCTTACTTAACCTCGTAGCTTATCATAGTTGCTTTTAATAGGCTTGCTACTGTGTTTGTTTGGGGAGATTTACGGCTACTTGGAGGTTTCCGGCGGCGGCGAGGCCGCTTCCACACAGCCACCGCCAAACATGACCAAAAACACAGTGTGAAATCACAGTAACGTGATGTAGATGTGAGGAATTCTTTGGATCAGGGTTCGACGCATGTGACCAACGACGCTAGTTCGATCACACAGTCCTGCCCCAAAGATTTCTTCATGACCTAAGACATGTATTGAAAACATATTATTCACTCAAGAGTCGTTGTGGGTGTAATTTGTAGGTAAGAGTGAGTGGTACGCTGTCAGTGTGTAGTCTGAGAACGCCGCCGACGCCGACAGATCCAGGACGCCTTTATTTTGTTTGGGACGGCGAGTGTGGCGACCCGTCGAACCATCACTACCGCTGAGTGGGAGAGTTGGCGATCCCCGTGTCTCCTCATGGTTGATGGGGTTCTGGGAGTTCTTCTACTCCCCAACTCAGCTCAACTCAACTCTACTCCCTCAACTCGTTCTTCTATTCCATCATGGTCAACACCTCTCCCTCACAGCTGGAAGGAAATCCACTACCACTTACAGGATGAGATAGAGTCCATTACCACCCATTGGATGGGTATGGGGTCCACTACTGGCCACAGGATGGGTATGGGGTCCACTACTGGCCACAGGATGGGTATGGGGTCCACTACTGGCCACAGCATGGGTATGGGGTCCACTACTGGCCACAGGATGGGTATGGGGTCCACTACTGGCCACAGGATGGGTATGGGGTCCACTACTGGCCACAGCATGGGTATGGGGTCCACTACTGGCCACAGGATGGGTATGGGGTCCACTACTGGCCACGGGATGGGTATGGGGTCCACTACTGGCCACGGGATGGGTATGGGGCTCAACTACTGGCCACAGGATGGGTATGGGGGTCCACTACTGGCCACAGGATGGGTATGGGGTCCACTACTGGCCACAGCATGGGTATGGGGCTCAACTACTGGCCACAGGATGGGTATGGGGGTCCACTACTGGCCACAGGATGGGTATGGGGTCCACTACTGGCCACAGTATGGGTATGGGGCTCAACTACTGGCCACAGGATGGGTATGGGGGTCCACTACTGGCCACAGGATGGGTATGGGATCCACTACTGGCCACAGGATGGGTATGGGGCTCAACTACTGGCCACAGGATGAGTATGGGGTCCACTACTGGCCACAGGATGGGTATGGGGCTCAACTACTGGCCACAGGATGAGTATGGGGTCCACTACTGGCCACAGGATGGGTATGGGGGTCCACTACTGGCCACAGGATGGGTATGGGGGTCCACTACTGGCCACAGCATGGGTATGGGGGTCCACTACTGGCCACAGGATGGGTATGGGGGTCCACTACTGGCCACAGGATGGGTATGGGGTCCACTACTGGCCACAGGATGGGTATGGGGGTCCACTACTGGTCACAGCATGGGTATGGGGGTCCACTACTGGCCACAGCATGGGTATGGGGGTCCACTACTGGCCACAGGATGGGTATGGGGTCCACTACTGGCCACAGGATGGGTATGGGGTCCACTACTGGCCACAGGATGGGTATGGGGCTCAACTACTGGCCACAGGATGGGTATGGGGGTCCACTACTGGCCACAGGATGGGTATGGGGTTCACTACTGGCCACAGGATGGGTATGGGGTCCACTACTGGCCACAGGATGGGTATGGGGGTCCACTACTGGCCACAGGATGGGTATGGGGGTCCACTACTGGCCACAGGATGGGTATGGGGGTCCACTACTGGCCACAGGATGGGTATGGGGGTCCACTACTGGCCACAGGATGGGTATGGGGGTCCACTACTGGCCACAGGATGGGTATGGGGGTCCACTACTGGCCACAGGATGAGTATAATAGGCAATAGTGCCCCCCACCCCCCACAGGATAGGAATAGGCCGTATAATAAATGAACGAAATACAAAAATCCAACCAGTTGTCAGCAAGTCCCATTGGAGTGAGTAAACTGTTGTGGGGTCGTAGCCTGGGTAAATATCAGTAGTTGGCCTAAGGGGACTTTGATAAATATAACAGGCTTCCTGTCCCCGTCAATAGTAAGTGATTAAGATGTGGGCGTGAATGATTGTATTGGCGGAACGAAGCCGCCTCCGTGTCTTTGCTGCGGGCGGCCGGCCTTGCAAGTTATGGGCGAGTGTTCTCAAGGATCACTAATCTTCTCTTCAGCGAATCCCGCCATTTTTCCTTCACAGCAATAGTTGTAAACTTTGACTCACTGAGAGAGCCTTCATGGTGGTAACAAAGGCGCTCCGTCATGACCAGCACTATGTGACGTGCTCCAGCCAGCCCCGTCACGTGACGTACCATCAAGTTATATTTATGTATTGGTTATCCAGTTACGGCCGGGGTGTGACGGCAGGGTGTAGGGTGGGGTGTAACGGCAGGGTGTAGGATGGGGGGGTGTGACGGCAGGGTATAGGATGGGGTGTGACGGGGGGGGGGGGTGTTGTGTGACGCCTTGTTGAAGTGCCTGCGGGATATCATCGCGAGTGCCACCCTCGAGTGCTTGTACTAACATGCACTATCCACGGACAGGAAATTCATTTAGCAGCCAAGGTCAAGACTCTTTCTGTAAGGTTATCCATCCAGCTACTGACCACACCCACTGCTGATTAACCAGGCTGAGCGACGCCTGTGCATGCGCATAACCAGTAATCTATGCACATTTGCCTGTGCTCCACATCCCATTTGCTGTCCCTTTTCACCCATTTTAATAGTAATGACACCCATTCCTTCTCGTCCGTCCAAAGACCATAATGTCAATCTCGCTTCATAAACCACTGCACTGCGCCAGCCGAGAAAACTCGGTCGGTGGGAAACTGCGCCAACCCAGAAAACACCTTTTGAATATTTCGTGCGCTTGATTCCTTGGCTTGCGGTTCTGATTCTTCTTATCGTTATCTTAATCCTACTGGCTGCTGCCATTCGTCTGCCACTGACTCCAAGACATGCTGATTGATGATTGATGAAGATTACGTCACCCAAGAGGTGGCACGGGCATGAATAGACCATAAGTGGTGGATTGTTTGGAGTGAATGTGATCTTTGAGGATATACTGCGTGCTGAGCTCGCATTTAAATCGTCAGTCCTTAGTATGTGGCTGCTATCGTAGGGGAAGATACTGCTTAACAGTATTTATGAGGGTCTCCAGCTGCTGGACACTTTTTTTTGACCAGAAGAGTGGCAGTGTTGATGGCTTCAGGGTGGTTACTGCAAGACAGAGTGACTCTTAAAGTTCTTCTAAGGTCGTTGGTTGCTTCGCATTCCAGGAGTTAGTGAAGTAGTGGCTTTTCTGTGATTGTTTGGCAGATGATTACACGCTGAAGATGATTAGAGGCGTGATTTCTAGGAGGCCTGGTCGACGACCGGGCCGCTGGGACGCTAAGCCCCGGAAGCACCTCAAGGTAACGCTTGTAACCATTCTCATTAAATACGTCTGTCTTCTCGTCTCCACTTACCAATCAAACCCTTTATTAAGTGTGTTCATCCATCATTTTTTCTGTGCTCATCAGTTAGGAGCTATAGATCTTCAACCTGATGACGGGTTTGACTCTAAAGTTATCCCTCCTATATCATTACATTTTCTATGATGCAAATTTCTTTTATCTATATGTTTAAGAGAAAATGCCTGCTTGTCTCTTTGGTCGTCTGTCCAAGGTTGGAAGGCGATGCTTGGGGCTAGCCTCACACAACTCTGCAGGAGGAATGGTGTGAGGTACAGGACGAACATTGGCTAGTCGGGCTCGCCAAAATTCGAGAGGAAACACCGTGCCTGGGATCACATTGTGGCGTGGTGACCCAGCCTGGCGCCAGACCTGAGGCGTGGTGACCCAGCCTGGCACCAGACCTGAGGCGTGGTGACCCAGCCTGGCGCCAGACCTGAGGCGTGGTGACCCAGCCTGGCACCAGACCTGAGGCGTGGTGACCCAGCCTGGCACCAGAGCATCATGACCACCAAGGGTCGCCAGAGAGCCAGAGCAGCAGGCAAGGCAGCCATAAGATGACACAGACGGAGAGAGGAGTGCACATAGACGTGTGTGGGTCTTACTCTAAGGTGACGGCTTCTGCCTTCACAGTCATCTCTAATAGACCAGGACCTGCATCAAGGTGTAGGGTACAGGCAGGTGTAGGGTACAGGCAGGTGTAGGGTACAGACAGGTGTAGGGTACAGGCAGGTGTAGGGTACAGGCAGGTGTAGGGTACAGGCAGGTGTAGGGTACAGACAAGGTAGGTGAGGGTGCTGGGGTAGAGGCACCACAGGCAGGTGTAGGGTACAGACAGGTGTAGGGTACAGGCAGGTGTAGGGTACAGACAGGTATAAGGTACAGACAGGTGTAGGGTACAGGCAGGTGTAGGGTACAGGCAGGTGTAGGGTACAGACAGGTGTAGGGTACAGACAGGGTAGGTGTGGGTGCTGGGGTAGGGGCACCACAGGCAGGTGTAGGGTACAGACAGGTGTAAGGTACAGACAGGGTAGGTGTGGGTGCTGGGGTAGGGGCACCAGAGGCAGGGTTGAGGTACCCGCGGGTGCTGGCCGCCAGTCACCCCTCAGCTGCAGGACGGGGCGGGTGTACTGCATGTTCTTCCCGCCATACATGTGACTACACACCTGTACAACCAGTACTAAGATGTATTATCCGGTTTAGAGTACTTTGTGCGTCTCGCTGGTGAGTACACAATATATTACAATTATATTTGTTATTAATATAGTCTATTTGTCACTTCTTC